ATTCCTGTGAGACTTTGGTCATTAAACTTCCTTACAATATTCTGTAAGGATGGTTGAGGAGAATTTCCTTTGAACACATTGCTTATGTTAGCTCATAATGAATTTCTGTTGTACTTGAATGAGTTGCTTCTTGGCTAACAGAAAACAAGAAAAAACTATAGTCATTTAAACTTTAGGTGGTGATAAGCTGGGGCTTGGGCACAAATGAGTGCTGGAGATGCTTGGGTTTACTTTCTCCCCACTTATAGTTGGAAGTGACTACCAATATTCATATGTAATGCTTGCTACTTGTAGCTGTGTGAAGTCATTCATCTACAAACTGCTGTTAATAATTTTTTGAATTCTTCCACAAGCTTTCAAGTAATGGGTCAAAAGAGTAAAATGGTAGAAAATGTGTACAGTGTGTTTATTCTTGGTGGTAGCTGAAGGAGCTTCCTGTCCATAGTGTGATTGTATCATAGCGGAGACACTCTCACATCTGTTTTTGTTGCTGTTGTTAGAGAGCTCTCAAAATGACATGCATATCTTGTGATACCAGATAAACAAGTGTAGTATGACTCAGCGTTTTGTGAGCTGCTCAGCAGGTTCTTTAATGGTTGCTACACATTCTATAGACTTCCTTTAAACTGGTTTATATATGCACCGTTGTTATTTTTGGTAGTTAAAACATTCATTTTGTTTCCCATGTATGCTTTCTCCACAGAGTGATCTGTAACTAGTGTTATTTGTAATTGGCAATATTTCCAAAGAATTGATTATAGTATACCAGTTTGTGGTGGGAAAGACTAAAAAGTGAAAGTTTGGACTGTCTCTTCTCCCCCCCACCCAAAGATAAACTCACAGCAGAAGTTGATAAACCATGCCATTATTATGAAACCTCCCTGATATCTATATCTAATAATGTACTTAATAGCTTTGATCATGTCTTTGGTTAGTCTTTGTTCTGGTACCGATAACTGCACAACTGTGCATTACTGCTTATTTTTCAGCATTTGGCCACAGTATGTGAAAGACAGAATTCGCTCTACTTACATGTATTTTGCGGGAAGCATTGGCTTGACAGCACTGTCTGCTGTGGCAGTGAGCAGATCTCCGGCACTCATGAGCCTTATGACAAGAGGCTCTTGGCTGGTAAGTTCGTGTTAAATCTAAAGATATTTACCGAAGGGCTGACCCCAAGTGTGACAGTTGGTATCGAAAATGCAAAATATAAACATCTCTGTGAAAGGTGAGGCAAAACTTGAGGTACTGAACTCAGTAGTCCAGAGGCTTGGAAGAATTCAGCTGAGCAAGGTACCCCCGGGCCCTGGAGGTGATGTTCCCAATTCTTCTTCAGCAGGCATCGTTAAAGCCTTAGTAGTCACAAATAATGATGTGAAACTGCAGTGATAAAAGCAGGGGGAGCTGGGTTTCATGGGCATACATCAGTCAAGGTTGGTGGTGACAGTCATAGTGGTTCTATTACACAGCTTCAGCAGAATTGTTGAAAGCTTAAACTCCATAAAACTAGAACGCACTCTGCCAGCTGGCTTTATCAAGTATTATTCATGTGCTGCCCTCAGTAGGAAATGTGCTGAAAGGTTTATAGAAGAATACATTGAGGTTTTTTGAACTACATCACCACCTTGTGTAAGTATTGAACTTGTGAAATAATGACTACTCACAGATTCAAAGAGAATATAGATGTAGGTATTGTGGGATTCCTCAGAGAGAAGTAGAAGTTGCTTTTAGCATGTGGAGTTACTTTTTAAAAGACCTGTGATCTTAAGAGCAGTACACATCTTTCAAATCTGTTGGCTCTGTAGACAGTGATTTATGATTTCATATTTGCAAATACTAAGTAGGGCCCAAAGCTTATCCAAGTATATGTAGGTGCCTTAGATGTAAAGTGGCATGAGCAATATCAATCTTCTGTCTTAAATGGTTTGGTAGCTTTGAGTAGCAAAACTGCAAATATTTTGGCTTTGCGTCTTGCTTGTTTGGATTTTAAGAACCATTACTTTCCAAGACAGAAGTGCTAACGTACTAAAGACAGTATTTTTTGACTTCTGTATGGTATCTAATTACATTGCTGATTGGCACCTTGTACGTTTCCGTTGATAGCTTGTCTTTGAAAAGCTATTCACTCCAATTCTGTGCTGCTATCTTGACTAGCTACGTGCAAGTGAGAACCTGTTAAGTAACCATCAGAGCCCAATGGTACTACTTTCACCATTTTCAAAACACGTGCATGTTCTTAGGCATTTCTTCTGCCTGTGCCCTTCTGTCCACCTCTCTGAAAGCTGTCTTTTGTTGGCCAAGGCCAAAATGATACTGGTAGTCATAATCGCAAAGGCAAACTCCTTATAAGATGTGCCTGCTGAGTGCATGTGTGGTAAGTGTAGTGGCATAGTGATAATTCAATGCCTGCATCAATCTCTGCAGAGATTAATTTAATAATGCGTCCTTGGTGATTAACTAGAGGTTGGACCTTCCTGACTGGTTTGTGAGCTGCTGGAAGGTTCCGTTCAGAAGCAGCGCTAAGGGGAGGCAATGAGCCTTAAAATGAGTGGCAGCAAAAGCATCTGAACTGAATATTGGCTTGGGGTTGGGAGGAGAAATGTACATATTATTACATTTCAGCTACCTTTATGAGGATGAGTAGAGGGAGGAACCATACCTTTCCCTCCTATCTTGCTCAGGTAGGAGACTTGCTGTAGGTTATCACTGAACTCGGATTTCTGAAAGACTGAGTAAGAGTAAAACAGAAGTTGCTGCAAGCAAGAGTGTGCTGCTCTTTCAGAATTACACTGTTAATTTCTAGACCACAGGTTAGAACAGATTTTAGGGGAGAACGGAGACAGACCGTGTGTCCTAATGCCAAACTGAGCTATGTAATGCTGTGTTTTTACAGGCAATAGGTGCAACTTTTGCAGCTATGATTGGTGCTGGAATGTTGGTCAGGTCTATATCCTATGAAGATAGTCCGGCAACTAAACATCTTGCCTGGATGATGCATTCAGGTATGCAATTTTACTTTTCAGTGTAGAGGTCTTTGTTTCAGTGTGATCAGGTTCACTTACTTTAACAAAACTTTGACCTTTAAAGTAAAGTTTTAGGAGAGTTACAGTTTTCAGAGGGACCTGTGAGAACTTGTGAATGTCAGTGAGCTTTCTTAAGTGTTCTTCACACAACTCCAATACTTCGTAATCTTGTAAAAATCCATGCTCAGGCTAAACTTGAGATACAAATATGCCCTGCTAGGTAGAACTAAATAGCTTCTTAATTGTTTCCGTTTACTGTTTTATGGGACCATAGCTTTTATAAGCACTTGTATACACCTACCATGTCACCTCTTTTGTAGAATGAAATTGTTCGAATGTTGATGTTCTCGATGACAAGGACTGTCTGCTGCAGTGTGAAAAAAGTCAAGTACTGCTTGGATCAAGTTCTTCCACAAAAGCATACCATTACCACTAATACCTAACAGTAGTTCTGCACTTACTGTAAAAATATATTTTTCTGGCCTACCTTCAGATTGTTTGTGGGATCTTTCCAGTAGGCTGCTAGGCTTAGTAAAGCAGTGAGGAAGGTACTGAAACAACCTTATGCTAAGATGACCTAGCAGCTATTTTTGCTGTTGTGTGAAGTGTTGTCTTCGTCCCCCCGCCCACTCCCCCCAAAATATTGTGAATTGGTTTTATTCCTAACAGCTTTCCTGGGAAAGGAGACTTGTTTCCTAGAGCCTCCTTTTAAGGAGAAGGACTGGATTTTTTTCAACAGGAAACTCTATTTCCTATAAGATATGAAAGAGCATTCATTTTTGGTCTTGTGGTGGATCTCTCCTGTGTACTGGATAGAAGGATTTTTGAAAACATGGGATTTTGGTATTTAAACCTAAATTTCTTAGAGGCATACTCCTGTTGGGTATGTCAGGCAGAGTTACAGATGAGTTTCTCACTGAAGGTAATAGCTATTTCAGGTTACAGTGGCTTTCATGTCTTTCAAAATTGCTTTACCAGAAACAATTTATGGTTCAGGAAAGACAAATGTCCGGAAGTCAAAGGCCCGGAAGTCATATTTGTCTCTTTGGAGCTCAAGATTTTTATCAACTAAGAGGAAATTAAATTTACTTCAGTGGTTGTTACTAACATATCTTAAACTGATATTAATGGAACAGATGGAAGCTTCATACAGGACTCCAGGGAAAAGTCTGGCTTCCTTGGTCAGCTGTTCCTTGTAGCAGAAATCTGTCCTGCTTTACAGCTTTGAGTGTTCCTATGGCTCTTATGTAGCTGATGAGTCTATGCGAAGTTTTCACCAGCTGTGTTTTGAATAGATCAATATGCGGGCTGGTACTAAAGCTTTCTTCCACAGACCACCTCCCTGGCATATTCCCTAAAGCTAGATGAAAGTAGCTCACTCATTTTAAGATGGCCAGCCTGTCATGCCGCCTTGCCTTTTGGATAGATACGGTCATACACGATAGTATTTTTATCATGTAAGTGGTATAGTTTGAGCTATGCTATCTGGCTGAAAAAACATAGTTTTGGCAGGTGGAGTCTTCAGTGAAACTATTCCTAATGGATTTTGTTTTGTTTTTCCTTTGACCAGGTGTGATGGGTGCAGTGGTGGCTCCTCTAGCCTTCTTGGGTGGTCCCCTGCTGATCAGGGCTGCCTGGTATACAGCTGGAATTGTTGGAGGGCTCTCAACTGTGGCCATGTGTGCCCCAAGCGAAAAATTCCTGAATATGGGAGGACCACTTGGAATAGGCTTAGGCTTTGTTCTTGCCTCTTCAATTGGTAAAATACTGTTTTGATACTGTCAAAGTAGATGATAAGTTTGAGCGGTTAAGGTGCTCCTCATTTGGAACTGCAGACTGGTCTCTTCAGTTAAGATTTGCTTTAAGTAGCAGCAAAGCAGAAGATGTTCCGTTAAACTTTGTCTTAGAAACAAACTGTGCAGTTAAAAATATAAAATTACAGTTATGGTAAGTGTTAATTTGACAAATGGCTGATAGTGGTTGCTTCTATTTTTGGCTACTGTCAGTGACTAGAGAAGGTAGTAAGCATGAGCTTAGCTTCTGATCCGCTCATTCTTCTCCCTTCTGTGTTTGTGGACATATTGTATAAAAGTCACGGGGCAGAACTACTTCCATATGAAGAAAAGTACACGGTTCCCTAATGTGCTTAAAATTACTGCATCGACTTGTATATGCATCATCTCCAGCTGTTGTACGCTGGTATATGAAAGCAGCCCTACAGGTTGATGAGAATTTTTGAGTACTCCTTGAAAAATACTTACTACAGTAACTGAAGTTTGACCTTATGTGGAGTAGCAGAGACGTTTACAGTAGCTTTCATTTAACGCTTTTGTACATGTGTTTTTAGGATCCATGTTCTTGCCTCCTACGTCTGCTTTTGGTGCTGGCTTGTATTCAGTAGCTGTTTATGGTGGATTGATACTCTTTGGCATGTTCCTGCTGTATGATACGCAACATGTTATCAAGCGTGCAGAGACTCTTCCGTATTATGGAGTAACTAGATATGATCCAATCAATGCGTAAGTGTTCTGCATCAGCACAAAGCTGGTTGCAACATCTACATAAGGATTTGTTTCAAGTAGTATGGAAGTATACTTTCCAAAAAAAAAAGAGTTCCTTTGTTTACTGTCCAAAAGTATATTGCTGTAAAATTTGAAAAATAATGGAGTTTTGAAATACAATGTGAAAATAGCTACTGGGGTTAAAACTGAAAGCATCTCCCTGAAGCTAGAGAAACAAGATTAAACGTCATGTGCCTTCAACAACGTAACTTTTTTAGAAAGCCTTTTCCTGCTCAGAAGGAAGAGTTTTTATAGCTATTCCGTGAAAACACCTGTCAATATCAGCTCAGGCAAGCCATGTTAATTCTTTTGTAGTTACTCTGTATTTGTTAGTCTTTGTCACTAAATAAAAAAGGTTCCTCATAATAGGTATAGATCAGCATAGTAGATATAGAAAGAAGGATTAATTGACCCTCAGTAAGTACAAGTCAGATTTAGCAAGTAGCTTCCTTGCTGTAGGTGTTGTCTTTCTGATCTTAGGTGCATTGCTTGCTTCTTTTGGTTTCTGATCTTTAAAGTAGAATAATACTACTAATCTTTAAAAATACCTGGAGGTGAGCAGATAGAAATGCAGCATAAAAGCTGACTGTAACCTCACAGGGGTATAACAAGGGCTACTATTTGAGAACGGTATGATGTCTATCAAGGCTTTAGCAAGTAACTAAATTGCTGGCAGGTTTCTGGTTAAAACAAGGTCTAGGTTTTGTACACGCCAAGTGCAGAGGACACAGCATAGTTGATCTTTGTTACAGGCCCTTAAGGAAGGCTTTTGAAAATGAAGTATCATGGTGTGAGACACCAAATACTACTTCTGTTCCACTAGATTAACTTTGATTTCCTGTTTCCTAGGTGCCTGCGCATCTACACAGATACCCTAAACATCTTCATTCGGGTGGCCACCATGCTTGCCACTGGTGGAAGTGCCAGGAGAAAGTAAACCAAGGCTCCTCTCTGCAACTGTCTGATAGATCAAACTTCTAGGTTATCTGCCTAGTGCATATACGAAATAAAAACTCATGGGTACAAGCAGTTTTGCTGCAGGAGTCAGAAGTGTAAAGCATTTCAGCAAATTACTCTTGTTTCAGTGCAATGTGATTCAAACTTAATGCAAACCCTTTCCAGTTCTGTGTTTAAAATAGTGTGAATTGCTTCTAATTGTACCTTATTTGGGGAAAGTAAATTATTTTTAATATATTGAGTAAAATAGTTGGTCAGCTTTTTAATGGGCTTGGCAGCAGCTTTTGTTGCTTTCCTTTTTACTGTAACTACCTAGTAAAAGGAAGTAATCTCTAAAGTGGTATCCCTTATGCCAATAGGGATACAAGCTACTTCAGGAAGTGCTGTTGAGAGAAAACAGCTTTCAGTTAAGATTTTGTAAAATGATCCTCTAGTGACACATGAAGAACTGAACAAATTGGATACAGCGCTGACTGCGGTCAATGCCTTCTGTTATCTAGGCAGAAACTTCAGAAATGTGTAAGCAGTTGTTAGGAGTACGTTGGCCTGAGTGAATGAGGTGACCAAAAGTAGAAAGGGGACATGAAGAGGAAGCTTTGCAGCGCCTGTCTTGTTTGAAGACTTCAGTCTCTTTCTGAAGCACACATTAAGACACTGGAAACTAAACCTGAGTCTTCATGTTAACTGGGTGTAATAGCAACCAGGCTCTTCTGGTGCTAGAGTTGTAAATCATTGAATAGTGTTAGAGGTATGTCTTTTTTCCAGCGACTAAACTTCAGTATTGCAGGTGAAGCACAGACTTTTGGAAGAACTTCCAGTGCTCTTAAAAGCTTGTACAATTGGCACTGAAAGAGGCGGTTGAGGATGCCCTGTTGTAAACCCAAGTATCATAAATCTACCGTACTTCTGTACACTTTCTTCCTCTGTTTTTAACTCTTCTGCAAATCGGTATGTTTAGCTCAATCTAAAACGCTCCCTATCAGTGTTGTTGATTTGACGTTAACAAAGGCATACCTGCCAAACTCCATTGGTATGTGTTGGAATAAGAGGTGAGTTCTTGGGCACAAGGAAGCTTTGAGCAGATGTCAACAACTCAAACTTTCATTTTCTGTTAAATATGCTATGCTCATGTATTGACTTATGGAACAATAAAATTCTAGCCTCACAAGTTTACTGCTCACTTCTGTGTTAGTGCAAGTATTTTAATAACTCTGCACAAATAACTTGGTTAAGAGCACTGTGAATACGTTGTTGGCCGCTACTTCCTTTGCGAGAGTGCTGATGTGTATGTCTCCAAAGAATCCACAGAGATGACTTCCAGTTTCACTGTCTTTATGAAATCTTTCTCAGACAAAGATGCTGATCTACGCTTGGTTGAAGTGGTCCAATAGGTGCAGTTTGTTTGGCTACTGACCACAAGCAATGTTGCTTTTTTTTTTTTTTTTGCCTGTAGTATGCTGCAGTATTTTTAGAATCTTGAGTCATAGGGAAGGAACAGTGTGATTGTGAAGAACCTTGTCAACTCCTTTGTGTCCATAGTACAGTCTAACTTCCGGCACTTTTACGGCTGAAGGCATCTGTGTAGTGCTTTGGAGGAAGACATTTCTGGATCATGTAAGTGTAAGTAAGTAGACTGTTTAAAGGGTTTTTATCTCTTTAAGCAATTTCATAATGCTCAATCAAATTCCGTGTACTGTTGCTTTAACTGAACACAGCAATGCGCTTGTCCTCAAATCCTGTATCTGTTGGGAACTGTCTTGCAATAAAGCTCTCATATCTGT